AAAGCTGGGAACTGAGACCAACAGCTGCAGAATTCTTTTTTACAGCTGTCTCATGCTCTTTTCCTTTGATATGCATCTTCTGGTTTTGTGGTATTTGAGAATAGCTTCTCATGACAAAACCCCACTTCTGGGTCTGGGGTGTAGGGTGAGCACCCCTGGGTGACAATTAAGGCTCCCTGCTTTTTTTGTGATGAGCTGCCTGGAGAGCACTTCCACTGGGTTGAGAGAAAACAACATTTTTCCTGCGGAGATGTGCAAGAAATAGTCATTGCACTTTTGGAGACCCCCAGTAGGTGATACTACTGAGGGAGACTTCCCAGTAAGAAATGAAATGCAGCCTCACCCTGTCCTGTCTCTGAAGATGTACGACGCTCAATAAGATACTAATGGAAGGCTACCAACTCCTGAGCTGCCCTTATAAAGTTGTTGCCCTCACCTCCCAAATAACATCTGATTAAGGTACCCACCATGCCATGACAGAAATATTCAGACCCCTAGGATGTCCAAGTTTTGCAGGGAGACATTGCTGGAGTCCAAATCTCCTTTCTGTGTGCCACCTCTAATCTCTTCGCAAAGTCCAAAGTACTAGAGAGACATTGTGTTTCACGGGAATGCCATAGTAACTCATTGCGGTGGGTCTTTGAGGATGTAGATAGAATCGCCAGGCAAGATTTAAAACTCTGGACTTTACAAGAGAAATTGAAATGGTGTGATCACCTTTGGATGGAAGGAAAGAGGGTAATTATGCAAAAACATCAGAAAATGTTTTAAGCAGGAATGCTGTAAGCTTTAGGTATATGTTCACAGTTCCCTCAGTTATATAATTCTCTACTGACTCTCTCAACATATATTATTCTTCATACGTATTATTATAAAACAACCCAATTCCAGCCTTTTGTCACATTTCAGTCCTTCAATCATACTTACGACATGTTGAAAATTGATATTTCTTCCACAGGAGGTAGCTGAAAATTTGTTTACTGATATAAAAATGTGAAGCTGGGTTTCTGAGAGCTGAGTTATGTTACCGGATTAATCTCTTCTCACACCTTGTGCTTTGTTCTGATGTGTTTCTTAGGTAAAAGTTACCTCTATGACAAAAGAATTTGTCATCCGTTCTTTGCCATAACGCGCTCTGCAGAGAATGCATCATTTCAGAAACCTCATCGTATAAAATGAAACTGCTCTAAGATTACACCATAAAAAGACTTTTAGCACACCGTAAAAGAAATATAAGTAGCATTCAGTTACCAAAAGTGGTTCGCCATCATCCACACCTTCATCATCTTTAACCATTTAAAGATTGCATTTGAGAAATACTCACCTAACATACAGAGATGACTTATAGAAGCTGGTAAAGCTTTTAAGTTCCTTTCAGTGACATTACAAACAGACAACCATTTCTGGTGAATAAGCCTCAAAATATTTGTGTATTCTGCTTACAAAATGAAATATATCCTGAAATTCCTAGACTTTTTGGCATATGAGAGTGATTAGAAAGCTTTTTTGCATAAATTTCAAGTAAAGAATTGTCAATTATGTATGTTGTTGTTTTATACAGCATGTGATCTGAGCAGTTAGAAGCAAATATTCTTGAATTTATTCAGATAGCTACTAGAATATTCCCCTTGTAAACCTATATTAATATGACTATGATAACTATTTCATTCCAATTATCTAAAGTATCAGAGGCCACTAAGAAAAGTGTGTCCTTTTAATCATAGTCTTTAAGTGTTTTCTACTTTTAAAACAGAGGCTATTATATTTTTTGAATTATACAAAGCTTTTTTTTCCTCCAAATTATAGATGAAAGAGTCACCCACTTCAGATTAAATAACCTACTGTCAGAATCATGATTTCTTTGCTTGGCACACTCTTTATTGCTTCTGTAGAAGTCACTTCTGCCTTTTTCCTACCAACAAAATAAGTTGTTTCTTAGCAAAAATGCTGGAGTTGATTTTTATGATTTTCTCTTTTACTATGCTGTCCTATGTCTGATGATCCAGCATGAAAAATTGGAAAGTTCTTATCTTTTTTGATCTATGTAGAATTCTTCTACAGTGAAGGGGTATCTCTTGTTTTGCTGATGGGATGTTTTAATAATCTTTAAAGCCATGACCATCATGTATATAGGTATATAATTAAACAAAAATAGAAATACATGAGGGACACAGCTGACCCTAACTCACAGTCACTTACTTGCCTCTTTAGTGCCCAAATACATGTCCATTAGATAGACAGGCATCATATATGACTGTATATGACATTGTAAGCAGGTAGGATAGCACAATCCTATAGAGGATTATTACAGAGGGTAATTTTAGCTGAAGATCTTGGAAGTAGACTAGAGCTTTTCTGGAAGATACCTAATGTATCTTCTTACACTTCAGCAGCAGCTGAAGCTTTCCATATGAAATTTATGAACAAAATTCTGAAATTTGGAGTTCAGGATTTGATTAAATCACTCACAAGTCTCTCTAGGAGTAAGCACTCACCATACTTCTCTCAACTGTTGCTAGTCTTCAGAAAACAGAAAGAATTTCCATTTCATGCTTTTTGGGGGATGTGCTCCACTTCTGCTGTCTCTGGAACTCTCCTGCAGTCTTTGTCCTAAGCTCAGAAGGGTCCCTGCTCACTTTCCAGCTCCCTCCAAAGGCCATAACTCCTCTTTGTGCGATGTGATAGTGTGTGTGGGGGGAGAATACATCAGTGACACAGTAGAACCGCCAGTTGCTGAAATTCTCCTTTATTCATAGGATGCTGAGCCTGTTACGAAACTTCCATAAAGCTCTGGTAAAGCTGCTAGTTAAAAATTAAAAAATATAGAAACCAGAAGGGCTGTTTTGTTTCATGTTTCTGCCCTTCCCACAGTACTCACTAAAGATGTGCAATAAAACATATTAGACTTCAAATAACATGAAGTATTTCCTGTTCATATAGCCTTTGAAAGGTTTCCTTTTTTTGCATGCCCTTTACGTAACTGGGTAACAAATGCAAAAATAAAAGTATGGGAGAACATCAGTCTTCAATAGCCAACAGCTCAAATTCAACTCCACACCCATGACTTTATATTTCAAGTCTGTAATTCAGGATAGCCACAGAATAACAGAAAATTATATTTTTTCCCAGGCTTTGTCTTTAGATTTCATGGAAAGATTTCATTTCCTCAGGTTGATCTCCAGCCTGAAACAGGTTTTAGTCAGCAGTTCGATCTGTTGGTGTTGCCTGGCAAAATTCGTGCCAGTAGCATTTGACTGAATGGTTCAGCCTTCTCCATACCTTTCCGACAAGTGAATGAAAAAAAAAGACATCCCTTAGAATTAAAGATGGAGTGCACCCATGGTGAAGAAGGTTCTTTGGCCAGGAGGGAGTGCTGACCCTCGTGCGGTCTCCTCAGCTGTGAGTGCATCAGAATCTGCCCATTTTTTGACATTGTCCTTAAAACCTACCTCTGGTTAGCTAAGCCCAGGCTGATGCCGACTCACTGTCGTGGTTTAACCCCAGCCAGCAACTAAGCACCACGCAGCCGCTCACTCACTCCCCCCCATCCAGTGGGATGGGGGAGAAAATCAGGAAAAGAAGTAAAACTCATGGGCTGAGATAAGAACGGTTTAATAGAACAGAAAAGAAGAAACTAATAATGATGATAATAACAATAATAAAATGACAACAGTAATAATAAAAGGATTGGAATATGCAAGTGATGCACAATGCAATTGCTCACCACCAACAACCGACACCCAGTTAGTCCCTAAGCCGCAATCCCTCCCAGCCCCACTCCCCCCAGTTTATATACTGGGCGTGATGTCACATGGTGTGGAATACCCCTCTGGCCAGTTTGGGTCAGCTGTCCTGGCTGTGTCGCCTCCTGACCTCTTGTGCCCCTCCAGCCTTCTTGCTGGCTGGGCATGAGAAGCTGAAAAATCCTTGACTTAGGCTAAAAATGACTTAGCAACAACTGAAAACATCAGTGTGTTATCAACATTCTTCTCATACCGAACTCAAAAACACAGCACTGTACCAGCTACTAGGAAGACAATTAACTCTATCCCAGCTGAAACCAGGACAGTCACGATGTCTACAGGCCCGTGCTTTCAGACTGGATGTTCGGAACTCGTGGAAGACCTGCAAATTAAAATTTTATTTTAAAAACTGGGTCACTTCACCACCCCCTTAAAAGAGAGCAGCGGTGCGTGCATTGGACCCTGCTTGAATGAAGTAGGAGGTCACTGCTGGCACATGTTTGCACCTGCGCATCTTTGCTGTGAAACATTGTCCTCACTTGGAAACTAGAGCATAGCTGACCTTCCAGAAATGGGATAAAAACCTACCTTCTGGGTTGCAATATCATTATCAGCATTAACAGCTTTGTGTTTCCCTCCTTGGCAAAGTTTTAAGTAAATATCTGAGTTCAGTGTCAGTCTTGTGTCCTCTAAGTTTCAATTTTCCCTTCTGCTGAGATTTGTTTTTGCTGCTCCACTGCCACAAGGAGCTTCAAAGCCAGTGATGGGCCCCAAGAAAATTTTATCACTGGGGAGGGAATGTGGTGGGACACAGATATTTAGCAGGAAACCATGCAGCATCTTTTTGTCCCCACTGGTGTTTAGGTCATCCCTGGGAAAATAAAGGGACAGCTGGATATGTGCAGCAGCTATTTTTGGCTTCTGGAACAATCATTTTGGATTAGAGGAGGCTAGGTGCAAATTAAAGAGACCTATAGCTGTCTGAAATTTTTGAGGATGAATCACTCGTCAGTTAGCCCTAAGAAGGGTGAGCAAGAAGATGGAAGATAATCTGTTTCAGTAGAATTTGTGAGCTGCATTGTTGCCGGCATTTGCCCAAAAGAAACATTCAGACACGTCATGTTTACAGCAGCTGCTCTGCAGAACAATGAAAACACGGATTTCTCCTGGCACCCTGAAACCGAAGCAGGCCACGCTGAAGCTCCTGTGGCAGATGAAAACTCCCAGCTATTATTTTCTGTTTATTTACCGTGCCAGTGGAAGGGACCGTGCCGGCCCCCCCCGGGGTGATTTCCAGTCCTCCCCGCTGTGCCTGCGTGGGCAGAGGCCCCACGGCTCTCTCGCCGCGGTGGGAAGCGTCCAGACCGCCTGAAAAAGCAACGCCGAACGCGTCTATCGCTCCGGAGAGCTCGCGGTGCCCGTGGCGAGAGCCAGGATTTCCAGCCCGCAGCGCTGAGCGGGACACGTCGTTTCCCGTAGCGGTGCTTCCCCAGGATGAGTGATAAGGAGGAGATTAAACTTGCAATGTGATCCTGCTTCTGGCTGCTGGAGACTTTTGAAGAGACCGTGACGGTGGTGACTTACGAGCTAGGAGATTAAAAGTAGCTTCTCTTCTTTTTAACATGCAGAGCCACCGCTCCGGTTACAGTGGGTGTGAGACCCGCCTGGTTACAGGAGGAGAGGATAAGAGCTCACTTGGACTTACTCCAGTCCAGCGATAGAGAGAAGTACGACGAAATCAAGCATTTCAAAAACATAATTATGCCAGACACAGTAAACTTTGCCCAAAGGACAAATTCTGCACCAAATTTTCAAACCCTGCCTGTTTATGTGCATTCAGGAACAATTTTACATCAAAGCAAATATTTTTTTTTTATGACGGCTGAGTCAGAAGGCAGCGGGATTTTCTCTGTAGAGAGCTGTACAGCTTTTTCTTTAGAGAAGCAAGGCCTTGCATGGTTGGCACCGAGTGGAAACCAGGAGAGCTGCTGGAACAACAGTCATAAGAAGTGGGAGTTCTTGTCCAGATGAGCCTGATTGTGTTAAAAACTACCAAGAGGCTGTAGCAGAGCAGTGGGCTAAAATCGAAATTACTCTTTATAGCTTTCACAGGGCTACAGCAGGTAGCTCTTACCCTGATAGAGTGAAATTAGAGTACGTGTTTCAGCCTTCAGGGCCACGAACAGAGCTCATGAACTGCATTTTACAAAATCTCCTGTGTTTCTTTTGGATGTATGAGTAACTAGGCTGGCACCTCCAAGCCATTAAGATCCCAAGACTGCTCCATGGGCCATGTGTAAGGTCCTTTGCCCTTCTTTTGCAGCTTAGTCTCAGGTTTTGTATGACTGCAAAGACACTGCAGTTTGAGAAATCTCAATACGCTCCTTCCTTGAATAGGAATATCCACTAGCCAGTCTAGTTTCCTAATAACTAATGACCTTCTTATCTGGCTTACTTTCCTAAAACAAATTTTCAAACTTACCATTGTTTTTTCTTCTTCTGTTAGTTTGCTCAGCCCTGTTCACAGGCCTGCAGGGTTACAAACCCTCTCTGATCATATGCTAATGAGTCATTAGTACTGACTGTCTGTTAATGTGAATAAATCACCCCTTCTTAGTCACTCTTTGTCCAAATAAAGAAGTCTATTCTGATAACAAAAATGTTACAACCAGCCAAGAATCAGGGAGATAAAATTAGAACAGCTCTTCCTCAGGGCTGCCAGGAGCAGGGCTCGGCTCACTCTGCCTCTGCTACCACTGCCCCTTTGTTTTTTCCCCTTGTTTTATTTAGGCATACGTGTTCACTTCACTACACTTTGAGTCTAAGATTGCATAATCGTGTTTCAGTCAGATTTTAACGTCTTTAGGTGGCTGAGAACAAAAGGTCAACACTGTTACTAGCTGCGTAGCTTTACTGAAGTGTGACTTCACCACAAAATTGGCACAAGGTCATTTTGAGATATTTTTACACTTTTGTTAGCAAAGGGGAATTACCCATTCACTTCTGGACAAGGTTAAATAGCTGACGACAGCTACAGGTTAAATATTAAGCCATTGGTCCTTCATTTCAAGTGAGAAATTGCAGTTGTCTTCAAAAACACTTGGAAGTTCAGGCAGCATCTTGGAACTGGTACAAGGAAAGACCACTTTTAATTAGCACAAGGGAACTGTACAAATTTTGAGCCAGACTCTGCTGTCTTGCACCTTCATACAACTTTGCAAGAGTAACAAAGGCTGTTTGAAAAACTCAGCATATTTTTTTCAAGAGCAGCCACTGTTTGCTTGTGTTATACTCGGCAGGTCTGAAGTTGCAATCAGATGAGATGGCTGAGCTGACTTCACAGCTTGCTATTGCTAAAAAATAATTGAGGTGGTTGGTTTTTTTCTCTTCTGGGTTAATTTCTACCACTTTCATGAGCTCAGCTGCCTCCTTGAAAGGTCAGACAGTACTAAGTCAGCCCAGGGAAGAGCTGGGGACCAGTGGGGTAAAGGGGAAGAAGGAGGACACTGGTAACAAAAAGGAGGAGGACACTGGTAACAAAAAGGAGGAGGAGGAGAGGGAAAAGGCCTCCTCCTTTCAGCAGCCCTGAGCTGCTGGATCAGTTCAGCCTATTTGGTTTGACCGGACCCTGGGGGTCCTACAGTAGATTTGCAGTAGCCCAAAGTCCCCACAGCTCAAGCATTTAGACCCAGATTTAATAAAAAGTTTAGGCTCCTGGGTTTTTGCTAGACTTGTAACTTCCTTTTTGATTTGCTTTTCAAAGAGCTTAGTAACAGCTAAGATCTATACCTTCTGGTGTTTGGGCCTGTGGAATTATGATTATGGTGATAACTTTGAAAATCTGAACCGAGTTCAAGTCACCCGTTTGCTCACAGCTTGCAGTAATAGCTACCGCAGGGGGTAAAAAGCCGCCTTCATTTCAGACAGGGACTGTGTGCTTCTAGAGTGCATGATTTTGGCACTTTTTCTAAAATGTTACTGAATTTGGTATTTGTACTCTAAAATACACCAGCTCGTTACATTTGGCCACCAGCCATTTCTCATCCCTTTGTATGGCCAGGACGTGCTTGCAGCTCAGTTTTCCCTCCTGGTTTTCCTCGCATGGCTTCCCAGGCTGCCTGAATTACGGCACATGATGCCTGAACTGCTAAACCTTTACCTGAGTAAAAACATATGCCCTTATTTACTATCCAGCCACATTACCAGCCCCGGACTATAGTGTGCTGTGGCTTTAGTTCTTCAAATCTCCTTGGGGATGTGGTTCAGAGCAGAGGCATGAGATGCAGCCTGCATTTCTAAAGGTGGCCACGACCCATGTTCTGCATGCTGTGTGGCTTGAATGAGTAAGTCAGGCAGAAACAGAGGCTAAAAGGTGGCAGTCTGTAGCTGTGTAGAAATAGGGAATTTTTTTTTTAACTGCACTGAATACGTGAAGGCTCCTAATTCACAACGGTTCAAAGTCAAACCCACAACCTTATTACAATTGCGTTTAAAATCGCCTCGAGAAGGACTGGAAAAGCTTAAGTGTCCTAGGATGGCCAAGAGTCCATTTAAGAAGGTGAAAAGCCTCAGCTCATTCTTGTGGTCTCCCAAAGCACATGTTGACTGTGTGAGCCCTTCTAGTTTCCTTTAGTTCAAACTAAAAAAAGATGCTTTCCACACACCTACTTCAACTTGCACCAAGATGAAGAGGGAACTTCCTAGAGAGGAGACGGCTGTGTAATGACCAGGTGCTTTTCCTGACTGCACCTCAAATGTGAGTTGCTCCTGAGGAGTACCTGGCTGTTCGCTGATGCGGTCAGGGCAGCAGTGGGTCGGGCAGTGCACTGGGAGAAAGGGCCGTGATAAAACTCGGATGTAGACAGGTTTCAGTGGTGTTGCAGTGGGGAAAGAACCTAAAAACTCACTACTGTAATATTTTATAAGCGGTATCTACTGCTGCTTTGCTTCTGATAACAGGTACTTGGCTATTAATGTAAAACTTCTATGAGGCCTCCCTTACATTGTATTTTATAGACGCCAGTGCAAGTCTGATTAAGAGTGACGGATGACTGAGGGTGCAGTCCTCTCTCCAAACGGTGAGAGGTGTCCTGTAACATTTGCCGGCCACATTTGCCTAGGTTTGAGGGTGGTGATCACAGCTATGGGACTGCTTTTTCTTAAGTAATACCCTAATTAATTTAATAAGGCAAATGTTGTCCCAGCAGTGCAGCTTTACTGCGTAATGACTAATCTCTGTCACAGCAGGATGCCAAGAATGAGTTTCTCTGGGAAGCTGTGGGTATGCATAATGAGCAGCTATCCCTAATAAAGTCTTTTTAATCAGGAGTCTTTCTCAGTTCAACTGAGTTAAATGAGTTTGCACTTTGTAAACACATGGGTGCAAGTCTCTGACTTGGGTAAAACACCGCATCTGCTCTTAAGCCAGTGAACATTTAAATAAATTGGTATCCTGGCTCTAAGAGTTAACTTTTGTGCTCACACGTGTGACAGGAATGCCCATGTAACTCTATACTACACCCAGTTAATGTATGTAGAGTATGTGATACTTCTTTTTGTGTATGCATTTCATTTTCCTGCTAACAACCTTTGACCACAAGTCACAGCCAAGGACTCTGTATCTGTCAGTACATTTCAACCGAATTTGAAAAAAAAAAAAAAGACAGATGTTTCAAAGATGCGAGTTTCCTGTACGTTTGAAGCAAGCAGGTGAGAAAGGAGAGAGAGACCACATGTATGGGTAGTACTCCAGTACTTTTTTGAAGGACTAATTTTTAAGCAAATTTCCCATTTGCCCACTCTTGCTCTGTGTAGTTTCATGTCATGGGGTGGTCTCAGTGTGTACGAAAGGGATTTTTTTCAGATTAAACTGAACTGGGAGATCCTCTCCGGGACTGTCTTTAATGTACTTCAGTCACATATAGACATATAGTCCATGAGACCAGGCAAAAGACGCTCAAAAATCCCTGAAATGTAGATAGCAGAGACCATGCTGTCCTGTTCCTCTCTACAGACCTGATCCTATTAGTCTCCACTTGCTTGCTAATACAGACACGGCCATCAGCGCCCTCGCCCGAGGCACCCCATCCTGATTAACATCAAACAGGCTGTCGGATGCTGTCTCAGTTCCCCAAATTCAGGAAAGCTTCAGGTGGAGTTCATACCTTATTAGATGCCGGGGAGCCTAGTCTTCCATCGGTGTGTCCCTGTTGATTGCACCTCAGCGGGGAGATCCCGCTGAAAGCAAGCAGGTCTCCTGAGAGATGGGGTTCTATGTTTAATAGAAGCAGCTCTGCTTCCAGCTTGGGATTTGTACAAGTATAACCGCTAGAAAAATCTGTCCCGGGAGTCTGGACTATTGCAATTGTTCTTATGTATTAAAAAATCACTTCAGCGACACATTTTGTGTTTTGGGAGGCTGTATTCCCTCAAGGATCTGCAATTGAATGTCACAGCATTATAATTAGACATGAGAATCGGTAAGTGAAAATGACAAGTTTGCCTTTGATGGCCATCCTGAGTGTCAAGGCCCATAACCTTTTAAAAATGTAGGCATAATACAGGTATAAAAGACTAATCTTTTATTCATAGGATCACCACCAAGGAAATGAATCTCTGCTTCTTAATATGACCATTGACTCGACAAGATTTTGCAGGCTTACCCCAAATTCAGGTGCATCTTTTCCTTATTTCTCTTGTTAAAGAGAACATAAGTCTGCCTTGTGCTCCAGTAAGAATAATAACCTAAATTCCCAGTGCAGACAGACCCAGGAGAATAAGATATTCTTTTTCTTTGACTGTTTCTATGTTGACTACAGAGCTCAAAGCAACCTGTCATAAAAATTGGGATACTATTGTGGTTAAATCACTTTGTAAAAGAGGCTGGAAACATCTTATGTTTTTTACTTTTTTTTTTTTACTATATATTTAATGGAGTAAGAAGATAAGTTCTTTTCATGCCAAAGATGCAAAGTAGATGTGCAGGATCAGTTAATAATTTCTGCATACTTCTAACACCATTTGCAAATACTGTCCCCCTAGAATTTCACGCAAACAGGTTTTGTAAAAATCTAAGCCTCTAAATTTCATCTCTTAGTTTTTTATCACACATGATGTGTCTGGCAGAGGGAAAGCCCGTAGCCCACCCAGGGACATCACACTGACTCTGCAGTTGTACCGTGTAAGCACAGCAGCCACTGCTCCCACTTTGGCATGGAAACATTCCAGTCTTCTCATGGAAATACAGCATAGCAAATCTATTTCTTCTGTTAAAAGGAGGGTTTTGCCTTTACTTTCTGGCTATGATAACATGATTCATTTTTTTTCTCACATACTTGTCCAGTTAAAATTGTAATAATTACAAAGCCATGCCTGGCTTCTCTGGCTTTAGAGTTTCACAAAGCAAGTCACCACTGGGATGGGAAACCCAGGATGGTCTGTTGAAGAGCTGATAAAAAAAAAGTCTAAGTTTGGTTACACATAGAGTCATAAAAGAAAAACAAAGGGAACCTCCCTGGGTTATCTTCTGGGTTCCTTCTTCCAATGCTTCATGGCAAGCATAACCCCGAGGTCTGTTTTAGTCGGCCAGATCTTTTTGCCTGAATTTTTGACCAAGTCTTCTAGATCTAGACCTCCTTCCTGTCATGCTATGTGAGAGTGTATATGAGAACTATAGCTATGTGTCATCTAATATAATGTTCTGCTAGTGAGCAGCAAGGAAATCTGGGAGGAACTACTAGATAAGGCTCAGAGAAAAAAATCATCATAGATTATAAACCTGTTTTTTGGGGCTTGCTGTAAAATCAGATGTGGGATGTTCAAGAGAGGGAAATTTAGCTCATGAATAGTATTTTAATTTTTCTATTTAAGCACAACCACCATCCATTTATTTAAATGTTGAAGAGAGAGAGAGAAATTATCTCCAGTTCCCCCATTCAAACTTTTCTCTCACCTGATCTGAGAGACCTTCAAGGGAAAATGGACTTAGAACTACTCTCTTGTGAAAGTGATAATTGATAAACTGGTCTGGATTTCACAGCTATTCTCAGGAGCTATCTGAATACTCTCTGAAAATGAAATAGGATCTTAAGGATATTTCTTGTAAAGGGATCACCTAAATTTTGTCACTGGAGTTATATGACCTAATTTGATTTGTTTGGCAAGGTGTTAGGTAAAGTAGAATCATTTGTAATGTTGATTTTTTTATCTTCACAAACCTACGTCAACCTACAATCCATGTAGCTTAAATTGTCACTGCAGCAGAAATCAAAGGCATTAGTATAACCCTTCTGAGGATGGCATATATGTTAAATGTCTATACTCATACACTAGATTAAATCTCATAATTAGCAAGATGCAATAAGTTTTAAGAAATATGCTCACCGAGGAGGGTGCCCAGAAGCTTTTAAAAAATTATACTCCGTATTAATATGTTTAAAGACTGTCACTGCGAGCCAAAAAGCACAGATACAGAAGTTTAAAGGAAATCCTGTCCCTGCTCTGCCCTGTAACGACCAGCCTGTTCCCAGCACGGCCAGAAGAGCCAACGTGCCTGAGGTGGCTGGTGATGGCGGGGGAGCGTCTCTGGCAGGAAACCTGCAGCCGAAGGGGGATACTGGAGCCCCGCTCTTGATGTGAGGCGGGGACCCAAGTACTCCAATTACGAATCTGGCACGAGGACTACCGGTGGAGAAAAAACAGGGGAAAACAAGCAGCATTTGGCTGGTCGCTGAGGGATGATCTTTGCGAGGAGATTCTCAAGTCTTATTGATGCCTACATAAAGCTGATGTCTTTATAATGCTTCAGGAGTCTCAGAGGTTGTTGGGGAAATTGCCTTGCTTCCACTTTCAGGAACTGGTAACGCTGTATGCCTTGGCAAAAGGCTGTTTTGTTTTGGTTTTTTTGAGCCCAAACTGATGCCTGTTTGGGATCCCAGAGAATCACAACTCCTAATGCCTATCTTCTATAGATTGCCAACACTGTTTACCATTACAACCAGGACGGGAATTTTGGGGAGAAGGTTCAGGTAGCGCCGAACAAGGGCTGTAAGAAATTGCCGAAAGCCGTTCTGCAAGCATCTCACAAAGCACTAAAGGTCGGTGGTAGTAAGTGCCTTGCTGACTGCTGGCTGCAGGGCTCTGAGCTCTGCCTCTATGCAGCCTGGCTGTTTTCCACTTAGTTGCTGGGTTTTTTTTTTCATTTGGGCTTTTTTATTTTCTCAGGCTGGATTCTCTTCCAGGTTCTCTAAAATAATTTCTTTTAGCTAATCTGCTCTCTAAAATTGCATAGTGAAAGCAAATAAACATTACACTTAAAAATACCTTCACTGTTTTATTGCCATAACTCATTCTCACTGTATACTTTTTTTGTTGGATATGAATTGTATTCTTCATATAGAAAGCCGTGCTCTTCAGGAGAGGAAGCAATTTTCAATTACATATTCCTCATAAGAAAATATTAGAGTGATAATGGTTCCGATATTTAAATTGTGAAATAATTTGCATTGTGAGATTTAAAAAAACCCCACAACAATAACAAAGGCAGAACATTCCCAGAGAGTCTCTCCATTAACCTGTCTGTAAAACTGAGGGATGCTAACACTTGATGGTTATCTCAGGCTGGGATGTATAGAACCTTGGTTAACAATAAGGAATAACAACAAACCTGAACACATGTGCTCTTAGTTTCCAATTCTCTCCATGTTGTAGAGGGTTGAATATTTGTAGTGGGACTCTCTTCCTTTCTCATATAGTTGCACCCCAAATACTCCAGAACAGAGTCTGGAACACGTAACACTTTGGAAACGGCGTTTGCCTTGCATGTCGTGGGCAGTGGGGTGCTACGGGCTCAATCCCAATCACACGCCCCGCTAACTGTCTTCTGCTCCCAGGGTCCCAAAGTTCTCTCCTGTGTCTCTAGAGAACTGTTTTGGCTGCTTCATTCTTCCATCAAGTGCCCTGTGCTGTTTCTTACAAAGATGCAACATCTGTTTTAGATAATAATATTAAAAATGGATAAAGATACGGCGTTTGAAGTTCTTCTGGTTTTCCCGGTGTTAATAGTAGCAGATGGTGGAAATCAATTTGCTATTAATTTACTTTCATGTTAAACACTCAATATAATTAAGCAAAGTGTCATCTAAATTCTGATTACTTACTTTCAAGTTAAAATGATGTGTAAAACAGACTCCTAATTATCATGCTAATACCTGTGAAATGCTGTTTTCAGTTTCCAAGCTTCATAGGCTTTTTAGTATCAGACTTCAAAGCCTCCTGACAGGCATTATGGGTAGGAAGGTCAGGACTTAAAGCTAGATTTGTTTAATATTATCCTTCATGTGGGAGCGCTCGTTTCAGTTGTTAATTCCCTTTGCTAAATTTCACACACACAACAAAGCATGACTATCGGTGTTATACTTGGGTACCATTTGCTCGACCTGCACGCATAAAGAAAAAGTGGTATTCTCCCTGATACTAATAGAAATTATCCAAGTGCATCTCAGGCATGATTTAAAACCTTAATACAGTACATATCTGTGCTTATATTCAGAAAAAAACTATTTGTGTTAGTATTAATTAAAGCCAAATTAGAAGAACAGAAAAACAAATCTGACTGAGGAAAACATCATCATGCATGCCATTTGCTTTGTAATTGTGCACATACCTAATTACCCTTCCATAGAGATGAAACATCAGAAAGAACTCTCAAGCCCTTTTGCTTATTATCTGCTTTACTACAACATTTTTCCTCTATAAGCTATTGCATCCAACCTTGTTTTCAATGTTTCAAGCTACTGACAATTCTTTCTTTCTTTTTTTTTTTTTTTCTTTTCCTCCTGGGGAAAACTCTATTTAATCTTTTGCAGACTAACCAGGAAAATGTTCCAGATACTCACCCAGCCTTTTTTATTCCTGTGAGTCATCAAATACCTCCTATGTCTGCTGCTAGACTTCAAAATAGGATTATTATATGTGGCTTAGAGACCGCAAGCTGGATATAGGATTAGCCATTTTAGCTTGATCCTACCTGATAAACTGTAAAATAGTAGTGGGAGAAGAAACCTTTTTCCAAGTAATAATTTTCCACATAAGTAATGTCTCTTTAGAAATACAGTTGCTTCAAATAACAGGAGAAAATCGTAACAATTGCTGTGAGTGGGTGGGAGGATGATCCATGCAAAAATTCTTTCTCATTAAAATTTCTTGAAAAGGTTTGAAAATCAGGCTCAGCTGAACAACAAGGAAGAAAATCAAGGAGTGGGGCAAAAATCAGCAAGGCTATCATCGTACTTCATTAGCAGAGAATACGTCTGCTTCGTAGGATAGCAAAAAGCAACCTACAGGCAGAAGCTCTTTTCAGCAAGGGGAAGAAATAAGGAGATCCACGTGCCAAGTTTTAAGAAAATTACCCATCTAGGGCTTTGACCAGCCTGTCAGTGGGAGGCCGAGGACAGCCTATGTAGACAGTACAAAAGCAGCTCTGGGAAAAATTTCTATAACATCTCATACAGTGTCGGGTAATTTGCTTTTATATAGCTGACAAAACTCAGGACTGGGACTCCTGACAGCCCTACGTTTAAAAAAGCAAAAGGACTTCGCTTCTACTTGGGAGATTAAATGAAGTTTTGTCATTAGCACAGTTAGAAGCCCAGTTTACTGTGGTAACAGGCATGCTGAAGGCTACCTAGCTCCCACCACACACCCTGTATATACTGCAGCTTATACAGGGGCCACAGCAGCAGATGCAGGGCTCAGAGCACATCACATTCAGGCATCTTCATTACCTCCTTCCAGGCCTTTATAAACGATGCTCGGCAAAACAAACCAAGTTTATTTTAAACCAAACTATACTCGAACAAAAATAAAACAACACCTGCACTTAAGTGCCACCAAAATGATTCGTATAAGGACAATGCTTTTTATTAGAGATGCTAAAATTAAATGTAAAAATATTTGCTGGGCTTAGGAATTGGACCAAAATACCTCTATGTCAGAGCAAGAAGCTTCCCGGTAGTGAAGACCAGTATCCCATCTCTCATTTGCCTTTGCATGGGAGGGCATTTGCTCAAACAGACCAAACCGATCACAGTGCTCAGAAGTCGAGGAGAACGTCAGGGTCATAGGTATTACCTAAATGACGTAGAATGACTGAAATCAATGACTACTTGAAACCAAATGACGCTGAAAAGATGGATATGCTTTTGCGAGCTAGATGTGCTTGTGCAAATTTGCGTTACGTGTGAGAAGCTATATAGGCACTAGGATACAGTGGCCCTGCCTACCTAAGAGTGGTACTCAAATACCTGACCATGGAATACGAACTGGATGAAAATACAGTACATATTCTTCACCTGCAATGTCTGTCAATGAGATGGGAATGTAAACAAATGTATGACATTGTGCTTTAATTGAAAACTGTCCTGGTTTCAGCTGGGATGTAGTTAACTGTCTTCCTAGTAGCTGGTACAGTGCTGTGTTTTGAGTTCAGTATGTGAAGAATGTTGATAACACTGATGTTTTCAGTTGTTGCTCAGTAGTATTTAGACTATAGTCAAGGATTTTTCAGCTTCTCATGCCCAGCCAGGGCACCTGACCCAAACTGGC